CCTCTCTCTCTCTCTCTCTCTCACCAGTACACACACAGACACACCCCCCCCTCCCTTCTTTCCACTCCCCCGGTAGCTTCTCCTCTCTCCCCTTGCACACTAAAAACTAGTCCATCTCTCAACGACGTCTGTATCGGTGGCTCCATCGCTACGCTGTGCCTTCTTGGCACACTCCCGGCCTACCTGACTTGCCCACTGTGTTGGTACCTTGACCAAGCACCCTGCTTTCTTTTTCTTTAACCTTTGGGCTTTTATTTTATTCATTCATTTTATTTATTAATTCTTTTTTTTTGCTTTTACCCTAGCTCAACCTCTCGATCTTCTCTTTTGGCCTCGACTCCATCTCCACATTTCCTTTCCCAAGCCCATGTTGCTTCTTCTGCCTCTCTTCCGACCCGTCGTCTTCTTGGTCCCCTACCATTCATCTATATAGCCTCGCTTCCTCTCGTCACAATCCTCTCTTTTGTTTCCCATCAATCACTCTCTTCATCCCTCCCTCCTTGCATCTTCACTTCTTCAGCAGGCTCTGACTCTTGTCTACAACATCTTCGCCTCAGACAAGGAACTTTACTTCTTGGCCTGACCAATATTGCGAGACATCATTATCCTCTACAACATCCTCTTGCCTTGTCTCGCCCTATCAACATAGTCTCCGGCTTCGAACTCTTCGCTTCTCTCATCCTACGCCATTCGCCCAGCCTTTGAATGCTTCTCTCATCACCAATTGCAACTCGACCATCAACATCCGCCAACCCGTCCTTACAGACACACACGCCCGTCTCCAGCCTTCATCCTTGCTTGCCGACAACTCTCGCACCCACTTTCTTGGCCCCGTCTCCAAAATCAGAAGCCGACCAGAATCAACAATCAACAGACCCTCGCTCGCTTTGTACCACACTCCAAGCCAGGGCCTGCCAGTACCTGTCTTTCTCTCCCCCGGTCACAGCCCACTTGATTCAGAACCCGGTCCACACCTTGTACACCCCGGCTGCCTTTGCCTTTCCGACATATATTCACCGGCGCGCCTCCCGCTGAGACCCGTCATCGCTTCGAGCAACTGCCTTTTCTTGGGCTTGTATATCATACATATATTGACATCCCCCTCCCCCCCTTCCTCCTTCCGCCACATCCCTACCTCCATTCATCATCTGTCTCATCGACATCTTCATCACCATCCACAATGGAGCTTCTCGAACTCGTTGAATATGAGCCTGCCACTCGCCCGTTCCAGTGTGACTGGGACTCGTGCAGCAAGGTGAGCTTCATCCTCAATGCCCAACCCTTCCTCCTCCCCATGGCTAACCATGATTCCTCAACAGAGCTTCAACCGCAAGTCGGATCTTCAGCGCCACTACAGGATTCACACCAACGAGCGCCCCTACTCCTGCTCTATTCCCGGCTGTGGCAAGAGCTTCATCCAGCGCAGCGCCCTGACTGTTCACATCCGAACTCACACTGGCGAGAAGCCTCACCAGTGCCAACACATGGGTTGCGGCAAGCGCTTCTCTGACGTACGACGCACCCGTCTCTTCGCACACACATCCACTCACTAACATATCCTCAGTCTTCCTCTCTCGCCCGCCATCGCCGCATTCACACCGGCAAGCGCCCCTACAAATGCGCCCACGACGGCTGCATCAAGAGCTTCTGCCGCAAGACCACCATGGTCAAGCACCAGCGCCGCTCTCACCAGCGCGGCCTCCACCCCAACGAAGTCATGGACGACTGCTCCTCCGACTCGGACATGGGCGAGTCGCCTCCTACTCCTACCCAGACAGCCATGTCCTGGCCCGTTTCCCACATTGTGCCCGGTCAGGCCCTGCCCCATGGCCACCACGTCATGCACCGCGCTGCGTCCTTCCCCGACTTTAACCAGCAGATGCACCAGTACAACATGCAAAACGTCGCCGCCGCCGGGTACTCGGTCCAGCAGCACCCCGTCATGCTCCAGCGCAGCCAGTCTATCCAGCAGCCCTTTTACGTCGTCGAGCAGGGCAACCCAGGCGTCGCCACCATGAACACCAACATCCACCCCTCCTTCCAGGTCCCTCGCGGCCAGAGCGAGCGCCCGAGCAGCGTCGTCGAGATGGCCTACACCACACAGGGCATGACGACGCCCATCACCAGCAGCCCCGGCTTCTCCCCCGTCGCCGGCCAGAGCCCGACCATCCGCGACGGCCTCTACACGCACGCCTCGCAAGAAAGCCAGTACGCCATGCACAACGCCGCCGCCGTCGAGCAGCAGCCCATGATCCAGTACACGCAGCAGATGCCGCCGCAGACCCAGGCCCCTGCCGGGCACTACCCGTCCCCTCAGCCCGAGACGGAGCAGTGGTACCAGTACCAGGCGCCGGTCGAGGTCGCCACCATCGGCCAGCTGCCTGCCTACGGATCCGGCATCTACGACCTCTACGGCGGCCCCAAGATCGAGTTCGATGACCCGTCCATGCAGCTGCCCAGCAGCCGCATCGCAGCCATCTAATTGCGACATCCATCTTTGGCACCCTCGAGTGGTCTGTGGCGAGGATCGCTCTTGTACAACAATACAATAGAGCTATATATTAATACTGTATATGGATTGGGTCGAAGAAATATATCCTTACGAACGATACGAACACACATTAATATGGTTGGACGAGATACCAAGAGGTTGGGAACGGGTTTTACAGCACCACGACGCAGTGCCCCATGGTTGGGAGGTTGAGAACATTATTTGTACATTGTGTTTATCTTTAATATTTATTACTTTTTTTTGGATCATGGTTACAGGTGGACTCTATAATGAGAAGCAGGATTACTTGCCAGTTTTAATTGATACCTTTTTGCGCAGCTGATGAGCAATTTCAAGTCTTTTGGTCCCAACTCTTTTTTTTTTCTTTTCTTTTCTGTTGCTTTCTTTGGATGGTGCCTGTTTTGCTTTTGTCAAAGTCGCCTTTTTCATCCTTTCTTTTGACTCTTCCGACCTACCCAAGAGAGCAACACTAATACTACTCCAACGGCTCCACGGTAGCTTTTGGGCTTACTTTTTCTTCCCAGTATTTGCTTCTTGCAAAACCTCATACTGGTAGTCTGTACAAGAAAAAAAAATGATTCTGATACATCACAAAAATACTTGCATGCGCCGCCTTTCCCCGCTCCCTAAAAATACGGTATGATGCAGCAAGCTGTGCCTTGGGCGAGAAAAAATAAGTTACCCAGGCAGTCCCCCTTTCTATGTGAGACATGACTCTACTGAACCACTTCGGCAACGAAAAACACCGACTAGGTAAAATTACTGCCTTGGGGGTTTTTTTCCCTCTAGGCCTTGGCTATTTCCACACTTCTGGACGTATTCTTTTCTTGTCTCACCTAGGCCTGTAATCGACACGATATTGCAAGCGAGCAAAAATACAGGTACCCTTGCGTGCCTTGTTCCTGATGGCCGAAAATTGGGACCGTTCTGCTACGCCGAAGATGAGTTTGCTTGGCGCGGCGGCGCACGAGGATGAGCATAATACCCCATCAGATATAGGTAGGCAATGACACTGCCGAAGGGGTGCCTGTATCCGTAGGGAATCCAAATAAAATTGAACCTGAGAGCATCGGTGCGACCCGTGGTATGATGCGTGCAGGATGAGATGATGTTGGGTTTTTCGGTGAATGAAGGGACAGTCCAATTTCGAATCTCCGCAGCATCCAGCTCGGTCAGCGTCCATTGGTCGTTTTTTTTTATTCTCACCGCATCCGCATCCGTCCCAGCGATTCGGCGTGGTGCATCCGTGATGAGCGCTGCTGGGCTTGTTCCGACATCCGAACTGGAATTTGGGGTTTCTATTTCTAGCTGCTTCTGTCAGGTGATTTGGCGGGCGCGCAAACCCGCACACAGCCGGGCCAAGTTGTCTGGCCTTGCCTGCATGACTAAGCAGCAACGTCAGCGAACCCCGTTTGGCGATTCGCCTTGTCGGAACATGTTGGGGCAAAGTCGCATGCCAAACTTGTCCTCGCATCAGGCCACAAGCCACGCCGCATCATACTCGCTGGGCTCATTGAATTACCTACGATGCATGCAGCTAGATAGTGGCTCTTGCAAACCTTTATTTCAATTCCTCGGCGTACGCCTACCAGCGCCACACGGCACACTGGACGCAGGGGTTTTTGATCACGAGCGTTCAACAGGCTCCCCAGATCCGACGGCGATCGAACGCATCCAAGCGCACGACCCAGTTTGAACAGCGAACGACCATTCTATCGAGAGCCACTGATACAAATCATCCGCCGCTGTTTTCGCATTCTCGCAGCCATGGCTGATCTCCGAGCCGCGGCGTCGCTATCCCGACTAGGACTGCGTGCTGTCGCGCAGCCAGCTGCATCGATGCGCTTCTACACGCCAATTCTGGCCCGACGCACATTCACGCAGCCGCAATCACGACTTGCGCTCGCGCCCTTTTCCTACCGACAGTACGCCCTGACTGCGACCGCCCTCCGACCTCGGACGACTACGAGGCTCTTTGGCACCTCATCCAGCGGCATCTCCCGCAACCAGCTCGCCAGCGCAGAAGAGTCGGCCAATCGCAACCCCGGCAATGCCAACGCGCAAAACGCCCTGTACCAGCTCCTCCTGCGCGCCAACATGCCCGGCATCCTCGTCGAGCGCTACCAGTCCGGCCGCTTCGGCACCAATCCGGCCACCGAGGACGCCTACAGAAAGGCGCTGGCGGCCCTCAACGCGGGTACCAACGCCACGTCGGGGATCGCGTCGGGCGTCGCCTTGGGCCGTCTCGGATATGGTGGCTCCGATGCCGCCATTGCCAGCGCCGCCGTTGGCCATGCCGGTCTTGGCAGCGCCACTGCGGGCGGCAAGGCCGAGCCGATTCATGTCGTGGTTCAAGAGACGACGCGCATGTTCATCTTCCGTTGGGTTCGGTTCTTTGCGACGTTTATTCTGGTAACCTACCTGTGCTTCGTGGCCGTCACGATTCTCATCGAGTTCCTCAGCTCCTTCCGCCGCGGGGGTGGCAAGACTGACTCCGAAGTCAAGGCCGAGAACCAAAACACTCGATTCAGCGATGTCCACGGATGCGACGAGGCCAAGGAGGAACTTTTGGAAGTGGTCGAATTTCTCAAGAACCCTGAAAAGTTCTCGGACCTCGGCGCCAAACTTCCCAAGGGCGTTCTTCTTGTTGGCCCGCCCGGTACTGGCAAGACTCTGCTCGCCAGAGCCGTGGCCGGCGAAGCGGGCGTGCCATTCTTCTACATGTCTGGATCCGAATTTGACGAGATTTATGTCGGTGTCGGTGCGAAGCGTGTTCGCGAGCTCTTTGCCGCCGCCAAGGCCAAGTCACCTGCCATCATCTTCATTGACGAGCTGGATGCTGTCGGTGGAAAGCGTAACCCTCGCGACCAGGCCCATTCCAAGCAGACACTGAACCAGCTCCTGACCGAGCTGGATGGATTTGATCAAGATACCAAGATTATCATCATGGCTGCCACCAACTTGCCCAAGCTGCTCGACAAGGCTCTCACCCGACCGGGACGATTTGACCGCCACATTGACGTTGGTCTTCCTGACGTGCGCGGCCGCATTGCCATTCTGGAACATCACGCGAAGAAGATTAAGCTGGCGCAAGATGTCGATCTCAAGGCTGTCGCTGCTCGCTCTCCTGGTCGCTCTGGTGCCGAGCTAGAAAATATGCTCAACTTTGCTGCGCTGCATGCTAGTCGCGCCAAAGCCAGCGTCATTTCGAGGGGCGATCTTGAGTGGGCATTCGATCGCGTGAGCATGGGTGCTGACAAGAAGTCGATGGTCATTTCGGAAAAGGAAAAGGAGATGACTGCTTATCACGAGGCTGGCCACGCACTTGTTCAACTCTTTGACAAGGAAAGTGATAGCAAACTCTACAAGGTGACGATTCTGCCCAAGGGTGGATCACTCGGTCACACGGCGCACGTCCCGGCCATGGACAAGTACTCCACCACGGCCGCCGAATACACTGCCAATATTCGCGTACTTCTCGGTGGCAAGATGGCCGAAGAGATGCGATACGGCGACGATAGGGTCACCTCGGGAGTGTCCAATGTAAGTTTGTCCCCGACTACAAACTCCAAATATGTACACTAATGTGGCGATAGGATCTGGAGCGCGCTACAGACTTGGGTTTCATGATGGTCGCGCAGTTTGGCATGTCCTCGGTTCTCGGCCCCATGGAATACGGACGCCGCTACGAGAACCTAAGTTCGGAAACCAGAGCCATCATCGAGGCGGAGGTGCAAAAGAGCCTAAAGAAGTCGTATGAGGATGTGCGCAAACTATTGACGGAGAAGCGCAAAGAACTGGACCTCCTCGCGCAGGCACTGGTCAAGTATGAGACATTGGATAAGGACGAGGTGGAGATTGTCATTCGTGGTCAGCCTTTACCTAACCGACCGGTTCTCGCCCGCGGGCCAATGCTCATTCCGGTGCCGGCTGAGCCTCCCACGCCTCCGGGGCTGGGCGGTGTGTCCCATCCCGAACCTGAATCGCCGGCTCCTCCGGCTCCCGCAGAATGATGAAGCACGGAGAAGAATCTTTGCTTTTGTCCTGCCCAGCAACGTTGCACTTGGATCCATTATTGCATAGCCTCAGGGGCAGTGAAGTACTGTAAATTTGGAGAAGAAAAAATAACGAGGTTGAGGGGGAAGGGGGTTGGTTCAGTTTTGTTTGTTGAAGGGGAGCATCATTCGAATTCATAGACAGGGCCAAGGACTTTGGAAGCATCGTGCAGCGAATAAGCGCTGTTTTTTTCTTGTACATTACGGATTGCACCACAAACAAAATCAGCCAAAAAAGATATCACCACCACTACATCCAGCAGGATCACATACTCATTTTTTTATATTATTCGAATATTGCTATTGACACGCATGGTGACATGGCGACTGGAAGCGATAGATGACCTGTCGAACCTTGGCGGCTACCCATACTCCGTTGTGAGACACCATTTCCATCAGGTTTCGAATAATAATGACAATAGAGCAAGTTGACTTGCCGCGAGTATCACATCTACAGCAGCGTGGCCCTGCCGCATCCCGCGATTTCGGACTTTCCGGCCAAAGCCGGGTTGGAACGGGAAGCAGGCCCTGGCCACGGCCGGCTGTGCCCTTTGCAGATATTTCCGCAAGAGGCTGGAAACGAACCAGGCATTGTGGCCCGCCCGGAGAAGCCGCCGAAGGCAGGACAGGGTCTTGTGGTTTTGTTATCCTCGAGGCCTGACCTGGCGGGCGGCGAGACCTGATGATGCCCGGAAAGGCAGGTAAGACGGGAATCAAGAGCGACAAGTCTCGGCCCCGTTTGTGTCTCTTGCCCTTTCCGACTTTCCTAGACCCTGTGTGTAGGAAATTGAAAAGGCCATCATCGCACGATGCACGTTGCCCTCTGTGGTGCCGTCAGGAACGTCGTCATTTCAAATCCACGACATGTACTATGCCCGTCCCGTCCGGGCCAAACTAGCGCCCCCCCCTTCCCGGAACTAATCAACTAACTAGTTCACGTCACGACTTGTATTGGTATGCGCGATGGAACCCTTGATTGACGTCAGCCACTCTTCCTATCCTATGGCGGGGGGGGAGCGCGCGGCGATAGCACACCACCGGCCGGGGAGGGGATAGACTTCAGACGGCGTTAGCTGGTGCTTGTATTTCTAATCCGACTTTATGCCCGTTTATTAAAAGGCGCAATTGCCTCGTTGCCAGACCTTTCGTTTTTTTTCTAATTCTCTCCGATTCTTGCAATAAACGCTTCACAATGGCAGCTGAAAAGATTCTACTCACTGGTACGTTAGCCCCTTCGCGATGGCTTCACCTCGGTTGTAGGCAATACCGAGAGAGAAAAACATTCTAACACAACCAATCATCACAGGCGGCTCCGGCTTCATCGCCGCGCACATTCTCGCCGACCTCCTCAAGGCCGGCCGCCAAGTCATCACCACGGTGCGCACGCAAGCCAAGGCCGACGCCATCCACAGCGCACACCCGGACCTCGTCGCCTCGGGGCAGCTCCTCGCCGTGCCCGTCGGGGACATTGCCTCGCCGACGGCCTTTGACGACGTTCTCGCCGCGCACGGCAGCGAGCTGCGCGCCGTGCTGCACACGGCGTCGCCGTTCCACTACAACTTCACCGACGCGCAGGCCGAGGTGATTGACCCGGCCGTCAACGGCACCACGGGGATCCTGCGCGCCATCCGCGCGCACGCGCCGCACGTCGCGCGCGTCGTCGTCACGTCGTCGTTTGCGGCCATTCTCGACCCCGACAAGGCGTGGGACCACGGCACCGTGTACACGGAGGCGTCGTGGAACCCCAACACGGCCCGCGACGCCGCCGAGAACAAAATGGCCGGCTACCGCGTGAGCAAGACGCTCGCTGAGCGCGCTGCCTGGGACTTTGTCCGCCGCGAGAAGCCCCCGTTTGACCTCGTCACCGTCAACCCCCCGCTCGTCTTCGGCCCCGTCGCCCACCACCTCGCCACCGCCGACGCCATCAACACGTCCAACGAGCGCGTCGTCGCGCTGCTGCGCGGCGCGTGGCGCGACAGCGGCATCCCCGAGACAGGCACCATGGTGCTGTGGATCGACGTTCGCGACGTTGCTGCGGCGCATATTCGCGCCCTGGAGACCCCCGCCGCCGCCGGCAAGCGCTTGTTTGTCGTCGGCGGCCGCTTTGACAACAAGCAGGTCGCCGACATTGTGTACAAGAACTTCCCCGATAGGCGGAGTGCGCTGCCCGGACCCGGCGCCAAGGGCGGCGAGGCGCCGCCGGCGGACAAGCTCTTTCAGATTGACAATTCGGCGACCAACAAACTGCTCGGTATCCAGTGGAGGTCGCTGGAGAGCAGCATCACGGACCTGGTGGGCTCGCTCAAGGGTTTGAGTGTCTAGAGTGGAACACTGTGCGGCTGCTGAAGACAAGTCCGGTGTACTCAAGATGCCTGAATGAATATAATGAAATTAATTTTATATCCGTCAACCCCGTGGTATCCCATGCTTCGCCTAATCTAGCTTTATATATGTGCAATATGCTTCTCCCTGTGTTGGTTATGTATACATGTGCTTGGCCCGAGCCTAATCTCCAGAGTCATCGTGATGCTGCAGTTCAGTATGATCCTGCCATTCTCGCCAACTCTTGCTCTTGGAGGATGGGACTGCGACTTGTGCGCGTCGTCGGCGTCTGTGGTGCCAGATGCGCCGGCGGCGCTTCGGCCCTGGCCCCCTTGCCCCCCCAAGTATCCCCCCACGTCCCGCGCATAGGGCCCGTCATGATCTTGGATTCAGAGCTCTCGCCGCTCTCGTTGCTAACTTGAGCGGATACGTTATCCTCATGCGGTAGAACCCCGCTCTCGCTGCTAACTTGAGTGGATATGTTGTCCTCTCGGGGTGGAAACGCCAGCGCCACGCCGATCGCATTGGGAGATATATCTGCGCGCGACGGCCCCCCAGACTGCGTTGTTGCCGTTCTGGATGGTGTACTCGGGAGGTCTCGACTCGGAGGCGGCCCTGGGTCAGCCAGTGACGACGCATATGAAATCGAGGCAAATTGGCTTCGTGTCGGGCTGAGGTAAGGGCTGCGCCCACGATGTGGTGACGGTGGCGTCCGGTCCGCCGCGAGGGCAGCGCTCGCTGCAGCTGCGTTCATAGCCAGTGGGGGACTAACAGTCGAACCATATGGCGAAGCAATGCCTGACCTTGATGCGGTTGGAAGGTGGAATCCCTGGTGCAAGCGTGACGGGCCTCTCTCAATGAGTTGCTCTGTCGACCCCGTTGGGAGCAATCGTCTCTCTTGAAGTCTCGGCGGCGGTGTAAGTGGTACTCCATCACGACCTAGATATGACGGTGACGGAGTCAAAAATGGTGAAGTGGGGGAGATTGGCGGTACAAGGACCAGGCTTGGTTGACTGTCTCCTGCCGGCGGTTGTGCCTCTCGGGCTTTTCTGCCATACCGGTAGTGCCACAGGACAGCAATGATTGCCACTAGAATCGCACCGCCAACCGCAGCCCCTATTATAATCTTTGCTGCGGTGGAAAGGCCACCCGTTGCGTCGTTTGGTCCCCCGGATAGATTCTCCCCAAGCCACGGATCCTCGAGAGAGGATATTGTGGGTGGTGCCGCGCTGGTCCCGCTGGTACTCGTCATAGCCGCACTGGTAGTTGTGCCACCGCTTGACGAACCGGTCGTCGAAGTTACGCTCTGCGTGGTGGTTGACGCTATACTCGTGTCTGTCGTCGATGATGTGCTCTCCTCGCTCGTCGAGGCGGTATTGTCCGTTGTCGTTATTGATGTAGTGTAATACGGCGTCGTTGATGATGTAGTGTAATACGGCCTCGTTGACGACGTGGTGTAATATGGCCTCGTCGTCTGGTAACTTGACCAAGTAGAGCTTTTTGTTGGCAAAATTGTCGTCCTTGAACAAGATATATCACTACTGGGCAAAAGCGTGTTAACGCAGGTATGCGTAACTGCTGGTGGACCAGGATCTCGGATTGGTTCATAACCTAAACTGTTGCTTGTTTCAGTATGCAACACAGCACCAATAATATCGATGGAAAAGAAATTTTCGGGTTACCTTGAACAAACGTTGATTATAAGGTCGACGTTCGCTATATAAGTAGGTTAGTATAACTGGCATTTGTTGTGATCGTATGAAAAGTAAGAGGAGTGTGAGTGGAAGGTGGCTTTGCTTACGGTCATAACCAGGCAATGCAATATTGTCAACACCGCATAACTGCGCATCGCAGCAGTAGAGCCCGATGAGCAAATCTTCTATTTGTGGCTGGTCGAGTCGCGCAAGCACTCTGCAGACGACATCGTATGTCTCTTCGCTCGGTGCAAGTAGCCGTCGGAGGCTGTCTCGGCAGCCTCTTACGCACCCTGGCGCATCTTGCACATCACCCGCGATGGCGCCCCATCTGCTTCCAACGCAGGCTTCCATAGCTGGCTCGGTGCGGTTGAGGTATATGTTGTGCAGGTTCCGTCTTCAACAGAGGTTGCAGCCAACTCGTATTGCCGAATGCAAGGCATGAGGTCTGTTGCAATATTATAGACGGTGAGGCTGACCAAAGGCTGAGGGGATGGTTGGCTTTGTGAGAGACAAGCTAGACCTCTGCATTCATGAACTGGCAGCAGAGGGATTCGATTGGAAGAAGGATACGAGCTGGCTCGGTTATGGTGTCGCACTGCGTGTCGAGACTGCACTCTCGTCTGTGTCCCCCGAATTAGAAAAGAGGCGTTGTAAAGTACCCTCCTACCCAACCCAAAAGAGAGGCGCAATAATGCTTAGAGTGCTTGAGCACGGTTCAGCTCCGGAGGAGAAGCTGAGTGCGTGTGGCGTGCTGAATTGCGTTCTGGAAGTATGCGATTTTGGAAATAGAGGTTTGTTAAAGTGGTGGTGTTTGAGGAACATGAATTGATAGACGAGGAGCCTTGAAAGAGAGGGCAAGGCGCTACCGCGTCATACTGTCCCCAAGTTAGAATTTGGGGATGGCCCGCTGTTACGAGTTGCTGCGTAACGTATCCGTCCGAAGTTTCCCAAACTTCAGGAGCTAGGCAAGCAGGGGTGCAACGGCTCGAAATATATGTGTGCCGAGGAGGCGGGCGGACAATACAGCGGAAGTCTGCTACTCGGACGCAGCAGAATCGGGCTGGGGTCATGACACATCCCATATGTCTTGCAAGCCGGCCACATGGCCCCTCGGCAGCCTCTCGTTCATTCATGAGAACCAGGGCCAATGTCTAGACAAGCGGTATTACACTTGGCATCTTGACTGTCTCGGCGACATTGTTCGGTCCGCTTTGCGTTGATCGAATCTGGACGCGAGTGAACGAATGGTACACTGAGGGCGGCGTGAGGAGGCATACTCGGCGAAAGATGTTATTTCCCTCTGGGCTATAAAACAGCCCCTGAATTTTTATTTGCTGCCTGCCAATGGCTCAATTGCCATGACAATTGGCGCATTTCTCACACACCTCTTACAAGACGAGTGAGAGGATGGTGTGTGACGGGGTCCACTTGCGAAACATGGGATGATGACACTCCTGCAGGATAGATAGATTGGGAGTTGCTGTCGGGCTTCGAGTTGCCAGCCTTTTTTCGGTGGGTAGGGTATTAAGGATTTGTCTTCCAGAAAGAAATTTGAATCATGGCGAATCATATTCTCTGCCTCGTATTTGACAGCATCACGTAGCGGGAGGCCTGTCGCCGCCGTCAGTACGTTGGTTGGTGGCGGACGATGACCAAACCGTTGCGGATCTTCAGGCATCCTCCACCCATACATATTTGGATATTTGGAAGGGTAATACATAACACAAACTTGCTGCTCATTCATTGTTTGCTTTGCGCAAGAGCTGGCAAGGTTGGGTAACTGTCTGCGCACAGCAAACATGTCGACAGGCTAAAACTCGATTCTCGATAAAGTCGGGGCATGCGTGCGTCGTCTGTTCTGGCCACGCTGACCGGCCAGAAGCGTTCTGGCTTGGAACATTGTTTCACGGCATGACGTGGCGAGTGCAAACTGAGTGCCGGTGGGTATACCGCTCCGTCTTGTCGAGCTGAGCCAATACGGGGGACTATGCTGCGAGTGCATCCGGCTGACTACCTAGTTATAGCGACGCCGCCCTTGCTGCTTGCTGGTTAACCGACATAACGCCAAGCCGCCCTTGCTGGTGGAAGGAGAATGCGCACTGCCTTGCTAAGCCGAGCCCTTGATCAACGTCGCCGCCTTTGATTAGACTTGCTTTGTCTTTCGTCATGGAACTGAGGGTAATTTGTAGGTAAGAGCAAGGTTACGTTGCGCGGCAGTCGAAGTTGGGTGTCATTGCAATCGGCGGGCGCGCCGAAAGCCTCTGGCGGAACGGCAGGCCCAGATGCGAGCGATTTGGCATTGGAAGCATGATGAAACCGATGTATAGGTGATTGGCGAGAGCATGGCAAAGCGAACGTGCACAGCGAAGTAAGTTCTGTTTTGTGTTGTTGAAGGAAGCAAACGGCAACGCATGCTGAGTGGATGAGTGGATTCAGGGTCCTATCCCCTTCAAAGCACTCTGTAACGGGGCCATTAATTGGTTCCCCTGACTTTGCCTTTCCCCTGTCCGTTTTATCATCCTGAAAAAAAGGAATAGTTAGTTGCCGATTATTTGAATCACCTTCTTGGTCCATTCAGTCCTTTGACGGCCATAGACATTCGCGTGCAGTGCTGCCGGCAGGTCGGCCCAAAGACCGAAATGTCCGTTCGGGGCGGGGCGTTATAGTACCTGTTACTGACGAGACACCTGGGGTTTGCCAGTATGTCTCCCGACAGGCATCACCTGTTGTCCCCGATTCTAGGGCCTGGATGGTCATTTTTTCCCCGAGTTCTAGAAGCGAATGTTTCTTTTCACATGTCTATATTTATTTTCTCATATCAACAAAACATATATCAATACCACCATCTCCTATCAGCTCATGTACTGCCCAAACAATGGATCTTCCACAGTGAACCGATGGTCGCTGCTAGCGCGCCAGTCGTCCAATTACCCCAAGATCTGGCTCGGCCTGGACCTCGGCAGGTCAGGTTCGGACTTTGCGGCCCATTCAATCTGATGATGATTGACCCCTTTCACGCCCAGCATCACCGCGATTTAAAAGACCGAACTCGCATTTGCATCGAATTGTGACACTGACGTCTTACTGATTCACACTCAATCGCAATGGCAGATCAAGCACGAGACCGCATTGAGGCCTTGGGCAAGCAGCTTGGCCTGCCTCCCATCCAGCGCAAAGCTGGCCCCTCTAACGAACTTCGCCTCCAAGGTAAAGTCGCCATCATCACAGGTAAGCGTAATTTCACAGGAGTATTGCAGTATAATATACTGTTATTAACAACGAATGCTTCATCCAAGGCGCCAATTCGCCCATGGGTATCGGCCGCGCCACTGCTCACCAGTATGCCGAGAGTGGCGCCAGAGCCATTTACATTTGCGATTTTGACGACACTCACCTAGAGAGCCACAAAAAGCAACTCAGCGCGGCTTACCCTTCTGTGGATGTTCATGTTCGCCAATTCGATGCTGGTGATGAAGACAAGGTCAAGGCCGTCGTCGACGACGCTCTAGCCCAGTACAAGCGCTTGGACATCTTCTTTGCCAACGCCGGCATCATTGGCAAGTATGGCATGTTTACCGACTACACAGAGCAGGACTACATGGAGGTCATGAGAACAAACTCTTGGAGGTGCGATAATGTCTGATCCGCTTCTACAATGAGGCTGATACTGATCCAGCCTTTAGTGTCGTGGCCGCTGCAAAGCATGCCGCCCCGGCCATGCAAAAGACATCAGCAGAGAAGCCCGAGTCGAATGGCAGCATTATTGCTACGGCTTCCGTCGCAGGTATCCGATCCAACGCGGGCACCACTCCCTACGCGGCCTCCAAGGCGGCCGTCATCAACGCTGCCCAGACAATCGCCTACCAGCTGACCGGCACCAACATCCGTATCAATGCCATCTGCCCGGGCATTATTGAAACCGGTATGACCGCGCCTGTATATGAGTCGGCCCGTGCCCGCGGAACCGAGAAGAAGATTGGACAGATCAACCCGCTGAGGCGCGGGGCTCATGCCGACGAGGTAGCGCGTGTTGCTCTCTTTTTGGGAAGCGACGAATCCAGTTACGTAAATGGCCAGGCCTGGGCTGTTGACGGCGGGCTGAGTGCCGGCCACCCATTTGTCCTTGGAAAGATGGCTTAGGGGCACCGGCATGTACATAGTTCATATTAGTATCTAGGATCTGTTCAAACCACACGAGCGACCACTAGGAATTCAACCATTCAACCATTCAACCATTGCCGCGTTTTGTCATAAATACATGCTGTCTTCATCACATGCAGCAATATCGTGGGGTCTATGGTTAGGTCAGATTGGTCGAGTTAATATTCTTATTCGACTCTTCAAACACTACTGCGCGTCAATCTCCATGGCGCCCTGCTCCATCAGTAGCTTGTCGATCCTGGCCAGTTGAGTCTCCTTCCACGTTTTATAATCAGCCCTTCGACTCTCACTCAGAAAATCATACCGATCCTGGAACATTGTGTCGGCGCGTCTGCCACTACCTTCTGGGGCGCCTTCATCTCCATCGTCCATATTCACATCGCCGTCGCCGATATTCCGGACCACATCGTCAATGCCTCTGTACCAATCGCTATCCAACCATCCTTTCTCTCTCGCCGTTTCCACCACGGCATCAAAGTCTTTTACTTTGACCGTGGCCCACCCATCCCACGCTCCGGCGTCTTCGGCGCCGACAAAGACAACTTCCTTGCGTGCTTTGCCGAGGATCCCCAGGATCTCCTTTCGGATCAGGGCGCAGCCATCGCTGTCAACAAGGACACCGCTTGTTACGGCCTGAAATCTTATAGTGACATGGTATAGAACAGCAGCCAACACTTCTGTGGTCTGACCGTTCGCCCATTCGTCTTCCATCTTTTGGCCTCCAGGAAACAATATCGATTCAGTTCCTGCCAGCATTGTGGGCGCAAGTTTCTTGCTTCCAGTCTCAACGGAGAAGAATCGTATCACGGGTGCGACCCAGGGTGGCAATCCTGTCCTCTCGCTCTCATCGTTGGTCACGCCTGCTGCCTTTTTACCCACAGACGTTGGATTTTTGCGAAATTGGTTTAAACTCTGGTCTTTTGAGGATGTTGCACTGGATAGTAGAGGTTGCGGTGACGAATTGGCAGTGCTTTCCTCCGCACCAAACTTGGAAACTTTTGTGCGAACACGGCCCGAACTGCGCCGCGCGCCACTGGTAGTAGAAGGCAAAATATTGTCGAGGTGAGAATAGAGTCGTTTATATATCCTAGGTTGCACAGGAGGTCGAGGCTCAATAGGCGGTAGATCAAGCTGTATCTTTAAGCGCTCGCATGCAATGTTCGCGCATGCATAGAGACGAGCAATCTCCTCTTCTGCTTTGAGAGTGCTTGCTTGGTTCCGTGATTGCGCAAGTAGAGAGCTTGCGAGTTCCACAAGTAACGGTGGAATATCTTTGACATATGACGGCATCAAAGATATCAGCGCCAACTCAATTTGTCGGCTCATTGTGGTGCGTGGTGGTTCGTCTGATGAGCACTGTATCGTGGGTGCGAACGCGTTCGACGCGTTTCAGTGTCGTTTGTCAATGCTGATGCCTACACTCAAAAGACCTAACCATTATAGGATTCTTTGAACTTGATTGCTGTACAAATCAGTAGCCAGTTACTCGAATAGGGTATTTTGGCCAAGAATTTAGATCGCAGTTCAAGCGATTCATGTATCTAGAGCGTTGCTGGCTCATGCCATCCTTTGTGGGGCGCCAGCCTGGAGGCCAAAATTTGGAGCTCAGACTTTTGGCAACTGTCTAGGAGCTTTTGCAACCGCAACGAAAACACATCAGCGATAAACGCGTGTCGAGTACGGCAGACTCCATTATGTCGGCTATCTATAACCTTGAGCCTCAACCCACGGCGTCTGCTGTTATCCATACCACGCTTGGCGAGATTCTCGTCGAGCTGTTCGCGAAGCAGACGCCACTGACCTGTCGCAACTTTCTTCAGCTCAGTCTCGACGGCTACTACGACGGCACGATATTCCACCGCTTGGTACCGAACTTCATCTTACAAGGAGGTGACCCAACTGGCACTGGAAATGGCGGCGAATCTATATACGACGGCGGCGCATTCGGCGGCGACCTGGACCCATGGCCAATGGACCAGCGTCACGGCAAGAATGCTGGACCGACGGGCATCAACTTTAGGGACGAATTCCACTCACGCCTCAAGTTCAACAGACGCGGGCTACTAGCGATGGCGAACGAGGGCCACGTCGATACGAATGGAAGCCAATTCTTCTTCACACTCGACAAGACCGACGAACTAAATGGCAAGAATACCCTATTTGGCCGCGTTGCCGGCGATACAATATACAACCTAGCCAAAATTGGGGAATCTGAGGTGGAAGAGGGCACAGATCGGCCCATGTATGCGGTCAAGATTGAGCGCATTGAGATCCTGGTCAACCCGTTCGAGGACATGGAGAAGCGTACACGTATAGCTGCGCATACAGAGAAGAGGCCTGCAGAAAAGGAAAAGAAGAAGAAGCGCAAGGCTGGAAAGCAGCTTCTCAGTTTCGGCGACGACGAGGGCGACGACGAAGTTCCCTCGCTGCCAAAAAAGGCAAAATTTGACACGCGCATAGTTATGGACGACGGTTCGGCCGACGGACCGCCCAAGGAAAAATCGACATCAAAAGCAGCCAGGAAGGAAAAGACAAACACACCGAAAACCAGTGATGACGGTGCGGAGGCCCAGACAATAGGAGTAGCAGCACAGCCCGCGGAAACAGAAGCGCCACCTAGAAGAGAACAAATCGATGATAATACGGCGGAGGAATATCCAGATGCACCCAAAAAGACTGCCCTACAAATAGCCAATGAAGAGATGGCCGCGCTTAAAGCTTCCATGAGAAGAACCATCCACAGCGCCACGGACGACGAGCCTCGAAAGAAATCGACCCTAGAGTCAATGATTCCAGAGAATTCTATTCGAGGAGCACGCAAAAGGCGAGCGGGCGGCGCTAGTGCCATATCCTCCGATGACCAGGCTACCATAAAATTTCTCAAGGGTTTTCAATCTCGACTTGACAAAGCGGCACCTGGAAAGGAGCTTACCGCGGGCGGTGACGAGGACGATGGTGAAGTGAAGCAGGACCAGACCGGCGAAGACGACGAGGCGGGACTTTGCGATTTACACTTCATCGCAAACTGTCAAAGCTGTACCTCGTGGGACAAGCAGGAAAAGGAAGAGAGTGATGACGAGGGCTGGATGTCACACCAGCTGTCCTTCGCCGCCGATAAACTTGGCAAAGACCTGAGAAACCGTAAAAAGGGCGAGGAAGAACTCGTGGTCATTGATCCTCGAAGCAAAGAGCAGTCCATGCGTGCAGAGAAACGGGCAAAGAGAGACGCTCGATCCGGGGGATCGGGGCGGCAGTGGGATCAACGGCGGGACCAGGCCAGAAATGCTCGAATGTCACAGGCAGCATCGTTGGCAGGCCGTGGTGCAAAATAACCAGAGAGCATGTACGGATACAATTGCTACCCTTTTTTGAATTTTACTTGGTTTGGTCTGCCATGCAGATGATGGTGAAAATGTAGATGAACGAAAGTAGACATAGAAGAAATTAGAGAAGACAACCATTGCAAGAGAGGTAAAAGTATCATATGTTGATACAGAGCTGTAGCCTAGATATTTCGGTTGGATGACATTAGAGATACTATCTACCTAGGTACTAAGGTACCTTCGTCTTCGTCACAGTTTGATGGAAGGGCTGTGCGGGATCTTGCGACCTATGTACCTACATATCAGGTACCCCTATGTACCTAGGTACCTAGCCTGACAAGCCTATCCGCTGGGTACCTAGTGGTCGAGTTTAATGCTCGGTCACAACGCTCAGGTAAGTGGATTCACTCCAGACACCTCCATTTCGATCCGCATCCAAACAATAAAAACTAACAATAAAATGACTTTTTTCCCAAGCTAGAATGCGCCGGCCCAGGTCGCAGCAACAAACCTACCTCTACCTAAAGTAATACAGCCTGTGTAGGTAGGTGGAAGTTCGCCCCGCCAAATGTCACGTGTCAGCGCAATGCAACTCATTTTTTGCGTATCGGAACTTATCTGTAGCCGCCATGATTGGCCAGATCTGGGGCCGAGTGTCCATCTTAGCGCCATTACCTTGGTGGTGTATTTTGGTTCAATCTGGCTCTGCATTGTCAACTTGAAATCGTTACCACCAGCTTCTGGAGGAGACGGGGCACCCAGCGATCAAGTATTTTACCTTTTTTCTCATTTGAGAAACTGACCACCCTGTTTTGCGGCAGATTTCTACCACGACCAGCCTCCAAATTTGCTCCCCTTTTCTTGCGACCGCGGAGACAGATCTGCGAAAAGTTGCCAAAGCGGATCCCCGACGGACCTCGACTGTGACGATAAAATCTGGCGGAGCTTGACCGCGCCTTCCACTGCCTCAGCACCAGCTCGCTCCAGGTTGGACTGGCTAATATAGCTCCGCGTCTTCTGTGTGTCCTTTGCCGCTTGGTTTCCTCGCGTACGCCGCCTCTCGAGAAGCGTCAAGTTGGTCTAGCCCTGTTTGCGGCGCGCCCAACGAGTTCTTGCCTCCAATCGCTAGAATCGCGAGGCTTTACATACACTCCGAAATATCCGCCAATTCGTGATCCGAATCATAATCGTATCATCTGCTCGCTTAGCTATCCTACAACGCGACGCAACATATCGACCTTGCAGAAAACGCCGCGATATCGTCAGCTTCGAACCACGCTTTCACAGTTTCTCTAGTCGTCATCATTCTCTCCTGGAACGCGCAATGTCTGCACCAAACTCCCGAAAGCGCATGGCACCTGGCATGTCGCCGGCTGTGCCCGTCCAGCAGCAAAACGTGCCGCCGCCAATCCCAACCGACAACATGTCCGATGCGATGACGCGCTGGAACGGCGCGGCTGACGCCTCTTCCTTTCTGGAGAATAACGCCTATGGCACAAATCCATACATGATTCCCAACACCGGCCAATTTCAACAGCCTGTTCCGGGACCATCAAACGCTGTGGCACGACGCCGTCTGAGCCAATCCCTCTTACCAACGAATCCACGCGGTGGATATAATCCGAACGCAGATCCTTGGGCCGGCTTTTCAGACATCGATGGAACACTCGTGCAACAAGGCAATGGCGAAGGAAACCCGGAGGAAGAGAGCGTGGAGAAGCTGGAAGAGCTGGCAGCCAAGGCGAAACGGGACGCGCAGACGAAGCGAAAACAGATACCGCCGTTTGTCCAGAAGCTTAGCAGGTTGGTTACAATTGTCCATGTCCTTGTCTTACGACACATCCCTAACGCCATAGACACAGCTTCTTGGAGGAGCGCAAAAACGAAGACCTTATCCGCTGGTCGGAGAGGGGCGATTCATTCATCGTGCTGGATGAGGATGAGTTTGCCAAGACATTGATTCCCGAGCTATTTAAACACAACAACTACGCCTCTTTTGTTCGACAACTAAACATGTACGGATTTCACAAATGCGTTGGCCTGTCTGACAATTCAATGCGCGCCAGCGAGAGAAAGAATAAGAGCCCCAGCGAATACAAGAACTCATACTTCCGAAGAGGACATCCTAACTTGTTATGGCTCATCAACAAGCCAAAGGGCAAGAAAGAAGCAACTGCTAAAAGTGCGTCCGGGCAAGCAGGTAGCGACGACGAGGCTGTCAACGAGGAGGCCACCAACCAGCCGGGCCCGAGCAACACCAATGCACCCGCTGGTCGCACATTGCCGTCCGCTGAAAGTGCCGCGCCACCCAAAAAGGAAATCGCTGCGATACGTGAAGAGCTCCACAAGGTGCATGAGCAACAGAAACTCATTCGTGGCGCTATCAACGCCCTGCAGCAGAACAACAATGAGCTCTACAACCAGGCGCTCGTATTCCAGAACCAGCACAACCGACACCAAAACTCCATCAATGCCATCCTCAACTTCCTCGCCAATGTCTTCCGTAAGACGCTTGAAGACCAAAACGGCTCCTCCAACGTCAACGACATCGTATCAAGCATGTTGACAAACCAGGGCCAGCAGGGACACGGTAGCGTGGTGAACCTCAGCGACTTCTTCCAAACACAGATGGATCCAGCAACCCCACACGCTGGTACCATGGTCAAGCGCACGAGAGGCCTGCTGCCGCCCATTCCTGGCCAGCAGGTTCCTGCTCAGCAGAGCCGGTCGCCGTCTGTGTCCAACTACCAGTCCAGCAGTATACAAAATCCTGAAATGGGCCATGTTACGGAGCTGCTTGACAATGACACACCGCCTTCTCTGCGTCAAGAACTCGAGATCAACCCGCAGGAGCGGATGATGAGAATCATCAACGACCACAATGCTAGTAGCACGCCGACAGCGCTGGATCCAGCGGCGGCCGAGCTCGTAGCCAACGCGCCTAACACGCTGAATAACGATCAGCGCAGCCAGCTCGTCAACTTCATGGCCGGTCAGTCCTCGCCCGGGTCAGCAGCGATACCGGGCTCTTCCGCGCCGCCGCACAGCAGCACGTCGCAGCCCGATACCACCGCTAAGCCGTCGCCGCCGTCTCTGTCGCCGATTATGCGATCGCCCGTGATGGCGGCGCCGTCGCTGAGCCACATCAACGCCAACCAAGAGGAGCTGCTGCGTCTGCAGCGTCTGCAAAATGACCAGGACGCCAAGATTAGCGAGCTGGGCGAGCTCCTGGGCCCGCTGAGCCCGTCGGGCCGCATCCCCGGGCTGGATGGGTCGGAGAGCTTCTTTGACGCGGCACCCAACGTGGACCTAGATCAGTACTTCAACAGCGACGCCTTTCTTCACGATAATGGCTTCGACGACGGCAGTGACTTCAACTTCAACTTGGACGCTGATGCGGCCGTCGCCGCCGCCGCGGACCAGCAGCAGAAGAGAAATGACACGCTGAGCCCGACCGGCACAGAAGAGATTCAACGAGACGACATGAATAGTCCTACGAGAGGTTCTAAGCGGCAGCGCAAGACCTAATCAGATGCTCGTTTCCTCTTCTGGCGGCGGTCAAACTTTCGTCGTCTTTCTTTTACCCTTTTAATATTGTATTTAGCTTGTGGTACATCGAACTGATGCTGGGCAGGATCACGTTATACCCATTTGGCATTTGTTTATAGAGTGCTGTTGTTTTGGGGTGGATGAGTTTACATGAGGTGTTAGCTACTGGCGGAACATGGCCGGATTATGGGGTTATTCATTTGATATTTCGTTACAAAAGCGGACCGTTTCATAGCGAGCCAGGTGGCTGCTGATCATATTTTATAGAAAGAATTGCATCCTCACCAGTGTCAATGCTTCATGTCGTAGGTGTAGCATGCGTAACTCGCACGACTTGTGTTTGTAGCCTGTAGTATCTCTTCCAAGGGCTCTACAAAACTGCTTGATCGGCGAATTGTAGCCAATACCAGGTGATGGGCCATTTGTACATCTGCACGAGGTGTGTGTGCAGCATCGCGGGCGCTTGTCCCCCGCGGCCGTTGTGTGTTGTATGATGTCGGCGCTTGTCGCCTCATTCAGCCTCTGCTGCGCGCGCCTTCAATCCGCTAGCGGGTTTGCATGAATCGTGACGCGCTCAATAACAAATGGCACGCGCGGGCGGTTCTTCTTGTCAACCTCGGCTGTCTCCATCCTGGCCAGCGTCGCGAGGCCGTCGTCCCCAATGACCCTGCCAAACACGGTGTTGAGGCCGTCGAGGTGCGGCGCGCGGTCCAAGAGAATGAAAAACTGAGAGCCGTTGGTGCCGGCGCCCTTGTTGGCCATGGACACGATGCCGCGGTCGGCGTGGCGCAGGGCCGGGCGGATCTCGTCGTCAAAGACGCCGCCCCAGATGGAGCGGCCGCCCTTGGGGTTGTCGGGGGGCGCGGGAACGGCGGGCGCGCCGGTCTGCACCATGAAGCCGGGGATGAGGCGGTGGAAGGGCGACTGGTCGTAGTAGCCGGAGGCGCAGAGGGCGAGAAAGTTCTGCGAGGCGGGAGCGGGCGGTTAGCGATGGGTCCATGGGGAGATGACGGCGCGTAGGGACTGACTGACCTCTGCAGTTTTGGGCACGCTTTCGCAAAAGACTTCGATTTTTAAGTCGCCCTTGGATGTGTGTAGCGTGACGGACATGGCGCCGGTCAATTGCGTGTCAGAGAGGTGGTGCGATGGCCTCTGGGCGGGAGCCTGCGAGCAGGGACAGAATTAATTTTGGAGGGGCAATGGAAGCTTGAGGTCATGGATTTCAAGGTTCAGCGCTTGCGTGGTGCAAGTTAGCGGTTGTTGGGTGGCCCATCTCCACTCCGCAGAACTCTCCTTGCAACAAGCAGGTGCTTAGGTCGTTGAATAAATACTAAAGAAAGAATCGGACGAGATAGGAAAATCAGAGACAGATCGAGATTGTTAAATTCAATACGATGACAAAGGTTATCTCCGGCATAGCTACATTGTCGTTGGCTCGACGAACGGTCAATGCATGTCCACCCAGGCCGTGTGCTTGGGCCTGCTAGACGCGGCTATTAGCTTACTCTGTGACGCTGTTTTTGTTTACTTTGTTGACTGCACCGGCGACAAGATGAAAATCTCACAAATAAATTGTGCGGGTTTTACAATATAGAAAAAAAAGTCCGGACCTTACACTGTTGAAATATATGCATCTGTACCAATTCGATTCTTGTGCCCTAGTTCGTTGTCAGCCCAGTGGCTGTCAAGGCTGCCTTGGGTGAGACAGCCGGCGGGGAGGTGGCGGCAAGACTCAGGGTTCTTTTTTTGCGATCCAGAATTTTGATAGTCGTCTGGAAATACGCAGTCGTAAATTCGTCTGTAAAGAAGGAGTCTGTTTTGTGGTAGCAAAAACTCACTCGTAAAACAGTGTAGGCGTTGGACGTTTGCTGGGACTGTTTTCGTGCGACGGGTGTCTGCTGGCGCCGCCAACCGATCGTCGTTGTCGTGCCCTGGCTGTGCCTGGTGTGCAGAAGTTCCCCCCGCCAAACAAGCGTCACGGCGTTTTCATAGGTCCTGCCTAGGTACCTACCTAGGTAGATATAGTTATGCCGTCTTGTTTATCATCTCCCCCGAGCCAACTCTCCCATACACACATGCACATACATACCACGGCCCAGTCGCTGATTTCACACACCGACCCATCCTCCTTCGTTCTATCTCTTGGTGCAAACGAGCCGCACAGCGACTCCGCCAGCAGCCCTGTCCGCTGCGTCAGCCTGAGCTCCAGCTGGACACGCGCTACAAGGCCCGATCCGGAAGCCCTGGACAGCCTGGGCGGCCTACCTAGCTAGCCGTTCGAGACGAAACAAACCCTGGCCGTCTGCGTTTTGCTGAAATATACCGAATAACATAAGAAGAGCGGCTATTTCGCTGGCCTTCTTTTTTTGACAGGTTGGTTGATGTGCTGGAGACCCGGCGGGCTGGCCAAACCCAGCCAACACCATCACAGAGAGAGCGCAGGCGCTAACTACAAGGTACAACTTCGCAGCAGCAACACCACCAGCCTTGACTGTTCCTTCTCCGACGCCGTGCCTTGCGTTGTCCTTTCCGCACCCTATCACAAACTCGGCCCTCTTTCGCTCGTTCACCACTTTCCTCCGCTTCCCGACGTGACCTTCCGCCAGGTCATGATCAAGCGCACTCGAATCTGCTTTCTCTAGCGGCATCCTGCATCTGATCTACCACTCTTCCTTGGCTTCCGGTCAACCCCCCACCACTCCGGTCACGCCCTCCGCAAAGCTCGCAGTCTCCCCGGCCAAAGCCCACCCTCTTGATAACCGGCCGGCCATAATATACATGACCTATCAGCAACGCTGCTCCTGCTCTCCAATACGCGCCGCACACCGCACATCTGCGCTCCGGTCGTGGCGGACGCCTGCATGACACCATGGCGACCGCTCCGGCGAGTGTGAGGGTTTCTGGGCCTCCCAATAGCGGCTTCCTCGTGGGCTATCCCGGAATCTCTGCGACGCTGGTGAGTCAAGCGATGCGCACACGTCCCTTTGCTCGTCCCCTACTCTACTTTACAGTGCTAACCTGGATCCCACCTCGGTGCTAGCCCCGCGTCGAAGGCAAGGTCGAAATTCGTCCTGGCCAGGGCTTCTCTATGCCAGTTCCCGTTTCTCTCGTCCGAATATCATTGCAGCGCCGCGAAACGATCCATCCCGATGCTGATAACCTTGCCAAGCGCCATCTCGGCGCCGCTCGAAAGGAGTCGACCGACGTTGTCGGCAAAGAGGTGCTTCTCTTTCGCTGCTCTTCGGGCAAGGAGGCGGAAAACGTCGTGGCCATGGATCTCCCTTTTGTCCTCTTTATTCCCTTTGGCAGAGGCGGCGAGGAAACAAATCGCCGTATACCGCCCGCCTCGCTGCAGCTCCCCAACAGGACAGCCGAGACCTACTACGAAATCGTCGTCACCGTACAACAAGGCCACAGCAACCAGTTCAAATACGCATTCCCCATGCCCTTGCAACGCTACGACACACTCTCGACATTTGGCATGTACAACAAGCCCGAATCGAAACTCGTCACATCGGATAACCTCGTCCACCTGGGCATCAGCCTACCAAAATGGAGCTACGGGCCAGGCGACCCCATTACCGTTTATATCAAGGTATCCCCCAACCTAGACTGGAGGGCCAAGGCGAAAAAAGTCACAATAGACAAAATTACGCTAGTGGTTGAAGAAGAAATCACTTTCAACCCAGAAGGAGACGAGCCGACCAAGAAGATCAACAAGCTACCTAATAAGCAGGTTCAGGTCGTCAAGGCAAAGATGCCCGAGGCCGGCTATGCCACAAATATCGGCCTCTGTTTCCCGTCCAAGGACTTGCGTGACTCCGACGGAATCATCAAGAGAGGAAAGCCGGCCTTTCCCCAATATGAGCTTTCCACCTTTACAACACAATCGTCACTCTATAAGATTGAATTTTTCCTCAATATCAAGGTACGCAAGCACCGGAAAATGGCGAATACCCGATAACTGACTCAATGTATGCAGGTTCAATTGAGCGGTGCGCGCGACATTGCCATTCGACAGCCCATTGTCATTTGCCCCTTGGACCAGTCAGGTTGCAAAGAGGAAATGGACGCGATTGAGCAGGCGGCCAAGGACGCTTCCCACGTCGACCCCAGCAACCCTATGCTCCCAGCACGCACCATTATTCTGGCCAGTGATCGCGACTCGATCCGTGCACTTGGCCTCTGCACCGTTGGCGGACAAAAGAAGCCGTTTATCGAATAGTCCGGCCGTGCGCACAGGCGCATTTGTTCTCATTAGTCTTTGGAGTCTTTCGTGGTCCAGACAGCGTCCCGTCTCCTTGAAGCGAGTACTTCGTATATATACAGCAAGACACATTTGGCGGCGTTGTGGAAATCTTACGGTCATGGCGAATAGCGTTGGGATTGGGCATCGGGACACGGCGTTTACGGCAAATGTTGTTTCTCTCGAGGAGTTGTATGCTTTATCTAGGCGATTGCGACTGTGTATATAATGTCACTTTAATCAATTGCAAGCAACTACAACTGGTTCCTGCGAGATTCTGGATGCCCCTTCGACATGCTCGGCCTGCCTGCCCAACTAGCACCGGGTTCTTCACCAGTCCGTATTGATGGGCGCTTCTCGTCAGTCTTGGCATCTGAAAAAGGAGCCAGCGGATCAGGAAACGACTCCTCTGGACGTGGTGAAGCGAATACCTGTTGCCAGGAACATTTCATGTCCTGCAAAGTGACGTTTGTATTCCCAAACTGCAAAACAAGGCTCACAATTTGAGGGTGTTGTATTCTGGGGGTTTTTTTGAGTCACTTCCTTGAGTCAAATCCCCCCAAGGCCTTGGCACCCTTTCCTCCCCGAGCCACCTCATTACGTACACCCATTTCGGTGCGTCAAGGTGGCACTGCAGCGTGGCCACCAATTCCAACATGTTCGACATCCTCATATCGACGGCAGAAAAATAGTACAGAACATGTCATAGATCACACCAAAGGCCCCAGTGGTTCTAGGACGACACGGAAGAAGAGCAACGCTGCGAAGAAACCAAAGCTCTCAAAGGCGCAAGCAGCCCCCCACACACGGCTACAGTCAGTCGCATTTGGGTGCTGCAATTACCGAGAGGAACCAAACCCTCAGTCGAGCAGAATTGCGCCAGTCCATGGGCAATGGCTGGCTCAGGACACCATCTGCAGATCGACTGGTAGTTGTTGATGAGCGACGCATAACAGCATGGAATGGTCATTCCAACGAAATGAGGCAGGATGACGGAAAAATAACGGACACAATATGACACGACCACGAAGGAGGTGCACTGATAAAACATTATGGCTATTCAGCAGATTAAAACCCCAATATCTCGCTCGTTGTCAATGTGGCAGCCCATCGCGCGTGTTTAGGGTAGTGATCTATAATACATGATGCACTGAGACTTTGCGAAGGTTTTATGCAAACGTATGTATAACTGCCCGCTCGGAGGTAAGCCAAGAATAATGAAGCAAAGCGAAGCAAGTATTGAATAAGGGAAATCCAATTTGTGACAGTCGTTGGACCATGGCTCAAATGGATTGGCGCCAGAACAGACAAAGTGGTCGACAAATCAACAAGTGATGTAGTAGAGAAAGTCAGAATAAAGATTGTCGACTTATAAAAAAGGGAAAGTAAATATATTATTCGCTTTAATATACCTAGAAGTGGCAAAAGCAGGCAAAAATAGAATTCGTGCGAGCCGTAGGGATCGAACCTACGCGGGCGATGCCCATTGCGGTTTTGGATATTCTATCGTCTCTCCACAGGGGAAACAGACTGTCCTAAACACAACGCCTTAACCACTCGGCCAGACTCGCCAATATGGTGGGGATAGGCCTTATTTGGTACTATACAGGTTAGCCAGTTTTCTGGCGAGGTTTTGGTGGTGTGCCGGTGAGTCCACTTTTCAGGTTTGCCTGATGAGTGATGAGTGACTGCTGAACTTTTATGCTGTGCCATCATCATCTGTACACAACTTCACTGCTCCTTTTCTAGTCAAGCTGTTGGATAAGAGGCTTTTTGAATTCTATCCCAAACCCAGTTTTAATTTTCATCTACGGCGCGACAGGGCGCGGCCCACCGCCGCAAACCCTTTTTACGTTGAATCCCGGAGCCCGCGGTCATATGAACGTGGCCTGGGAACAGCAACAACCCTCAACATCCACAAAAATAAAACAGGCGCGGCGAAATGCCATTCGACGACGACGACAACCCGAATGTCGCTGCGGGACCGCCCAGCGCCGGCGGCGTGGACGGCGCGGCGGCCGCGGAGGAAGCAATGGAGGACGAGATGCCCGACTACAAGCTCTTCATGAGCATGTTTGACAAAAAGGGCGTGTCCAGCAAGACGATCCGCAAGGGCGAAAAGGACTTTGAATCACACGGGACGCGCGCGCAGGACGGGGTGCTCGAGACGAGCCGCCGCGCGCTCGAAGAGGTCCTCAGCTACACGCGCATCCACCGCGGCGACGGCTGGGTGCGCGGATGGTACGTGCCCGACTTTTGGGCGTCGGGGGAGGAGGGCGCGGCGGTCGGCGTGCTGGACCTGCGGCACGACGACGGGCGCCTGATGCTGCGCGAGCGCGTCGTCGTTGTCGAGCACGAGCGCGGCAGCTGGATGAAGGACATTGGCCGGTCCGTGCCCGCGGGCATCAACAGCAGCGAGGCGCAGCGGCCCGGCGTCGGCCGCCTGTGGCTGCTGCCCGAGGAGGCGCTGCACATGGTGGAGCGCGGCACGCTGGACCTCTGGTGGCCGCACAAGGAGCTCGGCGTCCTCCTGCAGGCCGGCACCGGCCCTGACGACTACGACGTCGGCGTGCCGCTCAGCCTCGAGGCCGCGTACTCGCTGCTACTGGGCGAGGACGACGGCGAGCGCGGCAAGGTCTCGCTGCCGCGGTACCAGGTCTTTACGCACCTGAAACGCGGAGGATTTCACGTGCTGCGCGCTCCGGACGAGCAGCGGCAGGCCCCTCCAGACACGAAGCAGACGACGACACACGCGCCGGGCACAACGTTGCTGCACTGGCTGCTCACGCTGGTGGGATGGGGCGGCGAGGCGCGGCCGCAACCACCGGCCAAGCTGCACTCCTTTGGACCGCTCGTCTCGCCGGGCCTCTACCGGGCGTACAAGCCCATCTACGAGCAGCTGAGTCTGCTCCCGCGCCACGTACCACAGCGGTCCACCACCATGACTAGCTCACGGGATGATGAGGCGGCGGCGGCGGCGGCGGCGGCGGCGCAGGACCCGTACAAGGTCTTCTTCCACGTCTGGAAAGCCGGCGGCGCGGCGCCGTTTGCCAAGCGCAACCCGCCGCCGCCGACGTTCCGCATCGCCGTGGCCGACACGGGCCTGCACGGGGTGCCGACGCTGGAGCAGGCGGCGGCGCTGCTGGCGTCGACGCCGCTCGACGACCCGCTGACGGCGAACCCGGCGTGGAAGGGCCCCGGCCGGCTGTACCAGCGGCTCAAGCACGGGCACCGCAACGTGCTGGTCGCGGTGGTGGACCGCGGACTGGTCAACTACATGCGCTTCGGCGAGGGCGCGTTTGGCGAGGAGCGGCTGTATGAGCGGCATGATGTGCGGAGGGACGCGAGCGGCGGCGGGAAACGAGGTGGTGGGAGAGGGAGGGGACGTGGTGGCAGGGGACGCGGTCGAGGACGAGGACGGTGAGGATGCCCTGGATCACTTTTGTATTTTTTGGGGGGGAGGTGCAGGATGGGCCACACGGTTGGCTGTGTAATTGCATTTCTCTCGCATTCTATAGACTTGAAGCCAAAGTACACAAGCACCGCGCTTCGCGGGCCAGCTCTCTTTTTGAAATCTGTTTAGCCTCGTAAGAGGGCTCTACGCCCCGACTCGCCGACAAATAGTATCTAATTCTGTGCCGGACAGCTGGAGTTGTGGGAGCTGTTATGAAGACATGTTTTTACGCCGAGTCGTTGCAGCAAGGAACACAAGTCGTCAGCCCGGTAGTCAAGTGACAGCCTGGGTGGACCACGCGAGGGCCGCATCAGTCAATGAGCAGCATCGGGGGAAAAAATGCGCAGCATACTAATTTGTACATCTCCGGTAGGAGGAACAAGGCCTGTCTGGAGCCTGGTGGGCTGCCTCCACGTTGGACAGGCGAGGCTCGCGATGCAGCCTTGATTCATGGGTGTTTGACAGTGTCACCTCAGTCTGCAGGACGTTTTGTTCTTTTCAGTCTGCATGGAAAGATGTATTTGTTTCGAGTTCTATCTTGCCGTTGTAAATGGCGAGCAGCCGCGTGCTGAATGGGTTGTGCCGTTGATACTTGCTCGTATCGGCTTGTCAATCACTTGCTCGTATCACTACGCATCACCAGGACATTCATTAATATCGTCCGTCCTTGTGGAGAAATATCCATCCTCCAAGTCAAGTTTGGAATTGTTTGTCAGTTCCTGGGCGGTGAGTAATCTTGTCCTCTGCCGCGTGGGTGAAATAAAGGTTGTGCGTTACACATGCAATTCGCCACGCGTGCGCTTCACCAGGCAACAGCGGGTTGTTCAGCGCATCATGGGTCCTGGGCAACGGCACAAAAAAAGGGTGGGTGTATTCTCTACCTGTGCAAAAGTGGAGGTGCGTGTACAGCAATTTGCAACGCCCGAGTTTGAAGTTGGTATTGTTTTCAGCATGTATAGTTGTGGCGGCTTCTGGCCCAGGTTCTCGACGCAGCCTGTTTCTGAGTATTTGGCCCTCGCCTTGCCCAGAAATGGCTCTTGTCGGTTCCGAGGCTGAATATCGGAAAGGAGCCTTGTCAAAAACTCGCTGTCTGCTTTGACTCTGTTCATTTCTTTTTCCAGGTGGTAACTAACTACGGATAGATAAATGCAGTTGCTTCCACGGCGGCAGAAACAGCTTCCTGACCAGGGCTGAGGTCTCACACCAAGTCAGGAGTTCAAGACCTGCAACCCGTTGTCGCACACACGGGACAAAAGCGGACAATGGCCGATCTTGTCCGTGTGCGATGATCCGAGACCTGTTGGCGAGATACTCTGCAGCTGAGAGTGCCCCCCAGCTAATAGTGTCCCTTGCTTCCGTGTTACGCTACTGCGGCAACGTGAATCAATGGTATATTGGGATAGAGATTGGCACAAGCGGTGAAAGGTACGTGGGAGACAATGCAACGGGTGTACGGAATAGTTGGTTCCTATCTTGGATTTGTAGCATGTATCTGCAGCTGGCTGGAGGAGACGGCTGCAGCTGTTGGAGTTGGACAGGGCTGAACTAGAGAACAGCGTACCCGGAGGTTGTCTTTTCGATGTGGCAAATCGGTACTCATGCCGGATACATGACTAGAAAAAAAAAAGGAACTATCAAAAAGAAGAGGAGCGATGATTTTTGTCCGTCGCATTGGCGATGGATGCAGCGAAGCAATAGATGGTGTCTCATAACTATAGCCTGTGGGTGTGGATAACGACCTTGCATAGCTTTCGGGTGGGTGAGCCGTGTTGGCCAGACCCGTGGCAGGTAACAAGGGTGCGGACCTTTGGACGGGAGGAGCTGGCGCGTGCAGGACGCTGAACAGTTTCGTGTCCTGGCTGGCTGTGAGACTGTGCTGGCATGCTTGATACAGAGAGGGTAAACTGTTACAAAGACATGGGCTTCTTTCTCCAAGTAGTTGGGTAAACGAAGACGTTCAGTTTGGCTCATAAACTAATGAGACACTAGGAGATACAAAAGATTACTAGCTGTTGAACAACAAAGTGAGTTGCTAGGCTGGTCCTAATAATAAAGGCCGGATGGTGTCTTGGAGCAAATAGGCCGGCGCGGCCCCCAGTCTGCTCTTCAGCTCCAGCTACGACGCCACCTGTTCAAGTGCATGGCTGACGAGGCTTTCGTTGCGATAGGTCAGATGTTGCTTGGTGCCTGTTTCCGATTTTTGAAGAGGGACTTTTTTTAAACCGTCCACTTTCTCGATATGCGAGTGGTTTCCAGAATGTAGTTTGCGTCGTCGTGACCAATTACAACAACAACAACCTTGACAGGGTTGCAACCACGGGTCGCGGAAGCATCCGGTGACAGGAGCAGCGGCGATATGACCGAGTTTGGATGGGCAACTAAAGTAGGGTTATGGAAACAAGGCAGGCCGGGTGGTTCCTCATGAGGGGAGTTGAACCAGATAGAGTGTAGCGTGGGGGAAAACTGACTTGGGGTGGCAGCTAACATTGCATGGTCTAAGTGCTCGGAGTAACTGGTAAATGGCTTGGGTACACATTATTCAAAGGTAAATGGAGAGAGCAGGCTTAGGCTGCGTGGACCGATCATCGGCCAGATCGTCTGCGGGTAGTGATTGTGCATTTTGCCCCAACTCGTGCGGGAGGGGGGGAGACGCCCATGTCTACCAGGGGAAAGACATGATGCTGCGGGATATGAATGGTTAGTAATACTGTACGGAACCTGGCAACCGGTGTCACCGTAACTCGTACAGACAGCGGTGCTATCAGTACTCGGTACTGGTACATACCTATGTTATCTCTTGACTTTGGGGGCGGGATTCCGTGCTCATTACGTTAACTACTGAGAGAGGCTTGCTATTGCATTTTATTGAAACCCCGGCCAATCAACTTGCGGCGACCCGTCTTGGCTGACAGGGGGTGTTTTTTTTTTTAGCAGTTGATGTTGAGTATAATGTCTTTGCCTTGTCATGGGTTACGTTTTAGCGGGCGAGAAATGGGTGGCTGCTGGTGGGTGTGTTTTGGCGGTGTTGCACGTCTTGGGTACCACCAAGGTGTAAGCTGTGGTTTTTATGCAGGGCAATCAGGTTTCTGATTTTAAATGTAACTAGGGCTCTATTGAGATGAGTAGCGCAGTGCGGCGCATCTCCCGTACGGGAAAGCACATAGTTAGTTACCTAGGTAGTTAGTGCGGATATAAATAATCTGTACGAATTACGGTGTATAGAATGTGGGACAGTATACGGCAACTCTGAGACGTTGATGACAGCACTAACGAAACAGAGTCGTAATAAAAAAAATACCGAGTAAGTGGTGATTTGTACGCACATTCTTTATTCTTTGATAATTACGAATTAGTTTGTGGTCCCCCACGCACGAAACCGGCCCCGCAAGACGATGCTAGTAATACTAGTAATACCCTTCCTTCTAGGCCGTTATTCATGCCCTCCCTCCCGCCGGGCTCTCGCTTGTTGTTTCGTGAATTGTTCCGTCCCAAGTTTTTGTAGGAATTAGCGTCGGCCAATCACTGCTCGCCGTCGGCCTCCAACTTTGTGCACGTACTGTATGGAGAAGTCGGTCCTTGAGAGTTGAACCCACAAAATCAACTACCTCACTTATCTGTACGAATGTAGTTACTTGCGCAACTCAGTTTATTAGTTGATGTTATTCACAACACCCGAGGGACCGCACAAGCTGGAAGATGGGGGGTCTCGTTTGCGGGACAATAGTCGGGACCCTCTGAAGAGTTGACCGAATCTTGCCGCCGGCCAGCCGTCAGGGGAAGCAACTCGGTCTGAATAATTTCCGTTGCCCGTCTTTTGTTTCGTATCGCAAGTACCAATGATTTGTACTTGGCTTGGTTGGCCTTTTTGCATTGCTGGCAGCCCCCCCACTCAGGCGCAAGTCACTGACAGGCCTGTCCTGGCCACGTTGGGCCCTTTGGTTTCATTTGGCCTTTTTCCACCGCCATTCTTAATAATTAGCATAACGTTAGTTCACTAGGGGATTCAGAGATACTATTCGCACATAAAACTCGGCAACTGTTACTGGGATGAAGCCGCAACGCAAGAGCTCAATAAAGGTAACGTGTTGATTTTTTTGGCTGGAAAAGAAAATTCTGCGGCGGTTGGTCAGCTTGGGCTGTAAAATCCAGTCAACTCGCACAAGGTTGCTGTGCACACTCACTCCTCACTCACTTGACCTGTGGCGGCGATGAGATTGTATTGCAGCCCAGCCAGCCCGCCAGCCAGTCAGTCATCCATCCATCCATCCATCCATCCATCCATCCCTCCATCATCCAGCCTCCATCTAGCCTCCATCCAGCCTCCATCCTCCCCTTCCTCCTCCCTCCATCTCCCCTCCTTTCTCTGCTGTGGCGCTCCAGCACCAACCACTCAGTAACGCAGCATTCACCACTCACCACTCACCACTCACCACTCACCACTCACCAAAACACAGAGTCACAAAGTGGCTGCTCGCTTCGCTTTCATCCCGTGTCTGTCCGCCGCCGCCCATCTTCAATATAGCTGCGAGTACGTATTATTAGTTAGTCTCGCATCCTTGACAGTGAACCCTCTTCTCTTTTCTTCTCTTTGCCAACTTGCAACTTGAATCCCTTTCATCCAACTCCGTACCCGCCCTCCCCAAGCAAGTCCCAAAGCTGAACAGCTCGTTATTCCATTTTTATTTTTTTCCATCCTCTGTCTCTGGGGTGCGCATCGGGGACTTTTATTCCTGTCTCGCTTGGCGTTTTTCTGCCATCGTATTTCGTCACCTGTTTTTCGTTTTCGCTTCTTCAGTCTGCTTCACACTTGCACAATCTGCTTCCGTGGCGGGCCAGACCTTTTGACCATTGATTTACCTACCTATTTAATCAGTCTGCTATCACGCCATACAAACCTGCATCCTGCAACCGCTGCCACCTCGGCCAAAATCGTGAATCTCTCTCTCCCTCTCTCTCTCTCTCTCTCTACGTCTCTCTCTCTCTCTCTCT